GATCTTCATGGGGATTCTTCTAGTGGTCCTTATATCTGGAATTTTATAACATGACAGGAGGCTTCCTATTTTGCATTAACTCTCTTTACTAAACTCCACAGCAGTAAAGAAAACGTAAAGAGTAACAAATAAATCACTGAGCAGCATAGTATATAAGGGTCATGCTGCCTGTACACTTCCTCTTTCTTTACTGCTCCATCGCAGACAGGTCAGAATATTTGCTCCCCTGGAGCTTTCTACATTTATTGTCATTTCTTGTTTGTTCCATATATATATTTCAAACATATTTTCTCACTTTGTTTACATCCTTTTATTTCTATTTCCTATCTTCATCAGGGCTGTGGGACTAGGGGCTCTCTGTGGGTCTTTTCTGCCCCTATTTGCCCCTCTATACCTCCTGGGACCCTCCCTTGGCTTCCCCTTGGTCCCCCCAGGTTCCCCCACTGCCCCCCTTCCCTGGAGTGCCCTCCTGGGCTCCCTCCTTGCGGCCGGTTTCATTCGCGGCCGTTTTCGCGCCGACCCGCTTCCATCCGCGGCCGGCCTCAAAATTTAGTCCCCGGCTTGCGGCCTACCTCGCGGCCGCCATTTTGGATCGCGGACATCGCGAGATTCTCGCGGCCATCTTAGTTTTGCCTCGTGCATCTCATTAGGGACTCAGTGTGGCTGTGCTAGCTTGCTGGTACCTCTGAAACTGCTGTTTTCCTCACCTTTTGTGTCTGACACCATCTGTGACTATAGGATTACCTACTCAAGCACCCCATCTGCTGCTTTCAACCTGCTACTCAGTCTGTGCCTCATCTGCTTCTATCAAGCTATCCTGTGGCTGGGTCAGTCAGGTCAGTGCTGCTGCCTGTTTATTATTACTGTGACCTGCACTTAAGGGTCCCAACCCTGTGCAACCGGGGTGAGCCCCCACTATAAAGACGCTGCTTACTGGGAGACTAGCTGTTGCAGTTCTCTCTAACTGGGTGAGCCCCAGTTTATAAGGTCACTACTATACCCTGCTGGGGTTATTCTGGGCTTGCTCCCACAATACTTCCAAATCTGACCCTACGCCTACTACCAAGACCTGGGTGCCCGTTTATTACTGTGCCTTTCAATAACTTATAGCCTACCCTACCATGGAAGATTCCCAGAATGTCCCTGTGGACTTCCAGGCCATGATTAACGCAGCTGTCGCTGCCTCTGTGGAGAAGGCACTCTCCAAGGCCCGAGCTTCGGCTCCTGACGTACCTAAACGCAGACGTCCACGCCACGAGTCGGAATCTGAATTGTCCGACCACCAGGCACGGGAGGATTCCCGCCCTAAAAAACGCCATGACAAAGGCGAAGATTGCACACCCAAACCAACTAAGGGTAAGGCACCTGCCAAGCACAAGTCTGCCAAATTACACACCCCAGCCCCGCGTCAGGAGTACTCTTCTGACGAAGAGCAAGAAGCCCAGTCCATGTCAGTGCTGGATGAATGGCAAGCTGACGCCTCTGACTCGGACTACGACGCATGGGGTTCGGACGAGAAATCTGTCTCCGCTTTCATGCGAGAGACTCTCCTGGGTGCGGCCCAGACAGGAGGTGTCGAGGACACTGCGGACGCAGAACCTCCTCTTGATTCAGACACCATCTTGGACCCCTCAGGCCAAGTGATGTTCGACCCCGCAACATTCGGCACCCCAGGTCGGGTGACTGGTCGCCTCCTGAACACCTTTCTAGGTTTATGCACCTGTGGCTCCGCAAACCTCTGGAGAAAGAGGTCCGCAGCCGACTCAGGTCCGAATGCCCACGCCCTTCCCTGCCGGATAAGGTCGCGCAGACCCCGGAATTCGACAAGGTTATGTCAACCTTCATGATGCGCAGTGGTAGAGACCCTCGCCGAGGGGTGGAGAAAGGCCTATGGGGCGCCCAAGATAACCTGCTGGATTCTGTAGGCCCCCTGGCTCGCATTATGTATTTGGCGGATGATGCCTACACCAAAGCCGATTCCTTCTCCGCTGAGGACATCAGGGAATGGGCACATGATGTTCGTGAGTGGGCACAACGGTGTTTTTGTTTCATCGGAAACACTAATGTTACGCTCTCTTCGGAGAGAAGAAAAGCAGCGTTGTACCGTATTAACGGCAAACTGGCAGACCTTGGCACAAAGGAGATAGGGCCCCAGGCACAAGGGAAATTATTTGGCGAACCGTTCCTCAAGGAACTCAACA